GTGAATTATAGGGTAATACGCCCGCGCGCGATCCAAAAGCGGGGAACACATAGGTTTGTCGCGTCAAAGGGATCTGTTGCCGAGTGATCTCCTTCTCAATAATACCTCCATGGTCTTACTAAAGAACCGTTAATGACATTGAATTGGAATATGTTCACCGAAACATACCCATCTGCGTCACTCAACACAGAATAAGGGAACATAACCACTTAAAAAAGGCTCAACTAAAATATCAAACAAGATATTTTATTATACATCTCAATAAGAGTATGCAATGTTTTAACTTAATTTAATTTTGTTGAGCGGAAGCTTGCCCGGGATCTCGGGTTCAAAACATGTACATCGACCAAGATGTTTCCTTAAGACTAAAGATAAGCTTAAAAAACATAATACAAACCACATGAAAACGTACATCATACATCATAATGGAAAAATATTTTGGATGAACCCACACACAATAGAAAATCTCTGCGTATAATAAGATAATATTAGTGGTATAAGGGTTCCTAGTAAAACATCATGGGCGGATTTAGGGCGGGGGGGGGGCTTTTTTTAACGGATTTTGGATATTAGTTTTCCTTTTTGCTGATTTTGTGATTTTTATGTTCAACGTTGCTGAGAAACTTCATCATGTTTTCTAGAAGTAAAATTTCTCTTTTGAAATGGTGTACATTTATGAGCCTTTGCATGTTGTCAAAGATTATGTTGGGAGAAGATGAATTATTACTAATTTAATGACACATGTCATAGTTGCATATTGCAGGTACCCTGTATATTAAAATTTCTTTTAAAAGACATACAACTATTTTTTAAAATTTATTTGTTACTGAAAACTTCCATGCTAGATAGTCGAAATCGACTCAATACAACCTCGTATTCCTCAAATGTGCTGGGCTTCACCGCCGGGAGCCCTAGGCGGCCCCCTGGCCCCCAGCCTAAGGCTGCTCGCTTCGCTCGCAGATTACACCCCTCCCTCTTTTTTCTGCCAAGCTGCATCCGCCCACGCCCTCAGTGCTTCGTACCTTGGCTGGTCGTCCATCTTTACTTTGGTGCCCCACCCCCCTCCTTTTGCTAAATCCTGTATCCGACCCTGAGTATAATAACTGAAGAAACTTACCTTTATGAACTCAAGGCTTCTGTATTAACACTAGTAGTCCTATATACAGTATTTTTTCTAAATTATTCAGTTTCATTTTCAGTACAATGTATACCTTGTGTTATACTATCGTGTCTGACTTACAATATGGCAGATTTTAGCATCTGTGAACATCACTTGCTGACCTTTATTTAGATAACTTAATGAGGCTCCTCATTAGTAGAAACAAAGAGACAATCCTATACATTGCATTGCTATGTACAGCAACTGTATGTATACCAAATCGCTTTTATTGTATGATAGTACGAGTTCAAGCGTTATCAGATATAAAATGAAAATAGCTTTCGTATGTCGCACCTGGCCGATGGCACTTAACAATGCTGATTGTTACAATCAACAAACAATCTGACAAAGCAGCGCAATCAGGCGAAAGAAAACATTTATTGGTCTAAACTGCTCAATCAATCGTATCATGGAGGTATAATACCTCCATGATCGTATGATAATTTTAATACAAAATACTGTTCTAAAATTACCTTAGTCGTATGCTGTTGAAATAAGTCTGCTTTCTCCTTGTGCGTCGTTTTTAATTTGTTACTGTTGCTTGATAGTTTGTACATGTTTGTACAATGAATACATATTTATGCTTAGGCTAGGTTATAATAAATAATTACAATAATAATTATTAAACATTAAAAAAAAAAAAAAAAAAAAAAAACTGACTTACAGTAAACACAACTTTATAAAACGATTTTTATTGGCTCGTGATAAATTCCTCAGTACCAGTAGATGTATATTTGGTCTAAACTACAAAAACAACATGCGTTAATATGCGTAAATACTAAATTAACATAGGTTTTACTTGTTGTTCTAACAGTTTATGATAAATGCAATAAACAGAAAAATGGTGCCAAACACTATAAAGTGTTTACAGGCTATAGTGTGCGCACTATTCGAGGCATCTCCAACCACAGCAAGAATTCTAACAGGGGCACCGCTTCCTTCTTTTATTTTCATGGGCAAAGCATAAACAGTGCTTCCTGTGGTCGGCATCTTATCCAAGTTTGCGACATTTTCAAGACCAAAGATGTTCGCTTTGAAAAGTTTTTCGTGCGAAGGAAAAGTTATAGATTGTCCGTAATCGAATGAGGCGGTGTCGATACCTAAGCCTACAATGTTACGGTTTTCAATTAGCCAATCAGCTGCATCTGGGCTGACTCCTGGAAAGTGAAGGAGCGAGTTTCCATTTGAATCCGTAAAGGTGTCGTTGCGATCTGACCCAAAGTACGCAGTACGATTTGGATAAAATTTACCCCAATCGGTGAACACCATCAAAATGGCACCATTTGGTATAGGCCCATTTTCTTCCTCCCAGGCAATTAAATCTTTAACGTCAAGTAATGCGTCAGGATTTGTCGACGCCTTGGAAGACATATCGATCTTTACACCTGGCCCAATTAAATGACCAACAGGAACTTCATCCATTCTTAGTCTGCCCTCTGATAGATGCGCTGGAGCATCCATGTGCGTCCCTGTGTGCTCGCCGGTCGTAAACATGTTACTCTCCAACCTTAAAAAATAGTACACACATGTATCCATTAGCTATCATCCTCATTCGTTTACATTATACAGTCATATATTTTTTTATTAATAAAGTTTTCACTATAATTACGATTTACTATTATCTGCCAACACCGATACCACCGTTATCACTATTTATACCGTCGTTAATTTATCATTTATGTTATCTTTGTTATTGTAATGTTCACCTTCGTCGGAGTCCTCGTCGTTGTTGTCGTCCTAATAGAAGGTAGGAATAATTATTTGCCAAAAAACTAAATAATTGCAAAAACAAAAAACCATAATCAATATTATCCAGATTTTTTGTGTCGGTCAGGCTTATATACCCATGCATATATACCAATATGCATATACAATATAATTAAGGTTATACAGAAAAATATTAAAGATTTTTAAGAGTCACATATCGAACAAAAATGTTGTAATATATATTAGGCCTATTCACAATAAAAGTGGTATGCCTACATAATATTAATTTCGATTAAAAAAAATCAATGTTACTAAACATTAAAATAATTAAATTATTTTAAATATAAGATTTTTTAAAATAGTTGTTTGTATTTGGTCTTTAAACTGTTCATATTTGCATTTGCCTCATTACGGGACAGTGGGCTATTATTTCACTAAACCAAATTGGTACGGTAGCGCATATCAAGTACAGATTAGCATTATTTTAAATAAATAAATAAATCATTCAGTTACTTATGTTCTTGTTTATCAACACTATCGTATCCATAAGTGTCCGAGTGGAGTTAAATGCTTGGTGGTTAAAGGTGCTTCTTTTCAAAACGGTCCTGGGTTCAATTCAGGGACGTATCCAGGGGAGCCGTGGGAGCCGCGGCTCCCCCCCCCCTTTTGTACACAGTGTTAACATTTTAAAGGTTATTCTTGGGCCAATACAAATTCTTTCCTGGGATCACTCAAAGTGAATACTTCCAAAACATGTAAATATGCATCAGTACACGTTATACAGGCCTAATAGAACACATAGGCCTAAGCGTGATTTTAAAAAAAATCTTAAATCCATAAATCGCAGGCTAGGTCTTCGATATTGTGGTTCAATTTCGTTTTTATAATTTTCCAAGTCTTTAAATTTTTATTTAATAATACTAGGCCTACTACTAAATGTCTATAATGGTGATGTGATGATGATGAATTTTACTATATAAAAGTGTCATTTCCGGCCATCTCGAGAGGTGCTATTTCCTCACCTCAGCCCCAGCCATGGTGGGCTGAGGTGGTTGTGAAATCACGTTTCTGAAGTAGGTCTATGTAAAGTACATACTCAAAGACAATGTTTTTAAGCTTTGTTTTCTGTGGTATATCACACACACATTAATGATGTGTGTGTGATATGGTTGTCAAAAATCCCTAATAAAAGATCATGAGAATTTTTTTTTTTTTTGGCGCTTCATTTTGACTAATGGTGATGTGATGATGATGAATATTACTAAAAGTGTCATTTCTGGCCATCTAGAGTTACTATTTCCCTAAATTTTTCTCACCTCAGCTCCAACCATGGTGGGGCCGAGATGGATGTCGACTCACAAAATGCCCTCCCCCTCCACCTTTCAAAACAGATCTGTGAGCTTCCCTGGGTAAACTCCATCGAGTCGGCTCCTGATAGATGTCTTAGTGACTGCTGTTTGTTTTTAGGATGTGATCTGGTTTTACATGTCCATTTTTCGTGATTATGACTATTCTGAATAGTTTTGAGCAGAGGTAGATTCAAGGCTCCCCCCCCCCCCCCCCGCTTCATTTTTTAAGGAAAAAAAAGAAAAATATATTCAAATTGAAGTGCGAGAGTGTAATTTCCGGCCGTCTAGAGATGCCCTAATCATAAATTTTCTTATCTCAGCCCCCAACCATGGTGGGGCTGAGGTGAGTGGTTCCTCAGTCTGTGAATGTCCCTCCCTGGTTTCACCTCTCTTTCGAATTCCTGGATCTGCCACTGTTGATTTATTACATAATAATTTTTTGAGCTTATTTATAATGCGTCTATTGCAATTTTCACTTTATCCTCTCAAACAGTCCTAAGAACGTTCAGAGTGCGCTAATTCACAGGGGGATTCGCCCCCTTGACCCCGCCGGGGTCCTACGTAATTCGCATATCGGCTCCCCCCTTTCAAAATCCTGGCTACGTCCCTGGTTCAATTCCCGTCACAGTAACAGGATTTTTTCTCACGACCAAAACAACTCCACTCCACTACAACTCCACTCCCATAATGAGACTTAGTTTATGTAGAGCATCTTGTGTTTATGTTTGTCTTGTGAAAGTGATAGGTCTATGCTACTTTGAAAAGTAATAAGTTCACAGCTCATATCGTAGCCTTCGCCCTAAAATCAGTTGATAAAAAAAATAATAAAATAAAATTATGTTGATAATATTTTTCTAGCTGTAAAGCTGTTTCAATCGATAATAATAATAATAATAATAATAATAATAATAATAATAATAATAATAATAATAATAATAATAATAATAATAATAATAATAATAATAATAATAATAATAATAATAATAGATGGATTTAAATAGCGCAAATAAACGAGGTCTCTATGCGCTAGACAATATTGAAGTCAAGAACACAAAGAAAAAAGCCGGAAAAAACAAAAAACAAAAAAACAAAAAACAAACAAAAAAAAACCAACATAAACACCAAGCTAGCACCCAAACCGAAGTATGGGGTTACACCATCACCGCCAAGATAAATAAACCAAGATAGATAAACTAAAAATTACATGAAAGAACAAATGGATTGCTTGGTGAGACAGGATTGAACCAATGATCCACGATTTGAAGGCAAGCATTTAAATAACAAACAGTATTTAGCTATACGTACCAGAGTGGTCCATAAGGTCCACGGTGAAAAATCTCCTGCACGAATGGCGCGTGCATGTCACTTGGAAAATAGAGCGTGTTTTCATCAAACGAATACGTCAAGTCAATGATTTCGTCACCCTGGTCGCACACCACACGATGCAGAATGTCTGTGGCAATTAGAGAGGCAAGCAGCAAAAGATGCAGACGAAACATCCTGAAATAGACCAGCTAATCCATGTGGAAATTGTGCACGGGAGAAGTCGTTTAACATGGAATACTGAAATTAGAAGCTCACCCTGTGTAATTGTCTATAAACTTCAAGGGTGTAATTGTAGTGTTTTGGGTTACATTCACGATGTTGATAATGCGTTTGTTTTTTTATTGAGTCATCGTTATTTAGCCCTATAATTGTGTCCATTACATCGAGCATTGCTTTGTTCATTACCGACTGTTTACATTTATTCATTTAGTAAAAATCGAAAACTAACAAATGCCACTGTCCAAGTTATTAAGGCGATTCATTATGTAAAACAGGATACGATTTTTGTTCTACCACGATGCCTTTGCTGTGGAAAAAGGCTGTGGTGTATATATATGTTCAAGTCCTCTCTGATGCACAAGTTAAAGCGGTGCACTGTCTAAAAAAGAACGGGGTATTTTCTAATTGTGTAGGCCTCCAATTCACCACAAGGCAACACTGCGGCTTCCGTACCGTGGATCTCCAGAGCAGTAGTGGCGCCAGCGACGAGGGGGGAAATACCCGGACTCGTCAGACAGGCCTGGACCCCCGACGTAGACGCTTACGACGAGGGAGTCGGATCAAAAATTAACAAAAATAATAATTTGCTTATCCAAGTAACGTTATTTGTATTTTTCAATCCCTAGTGTGGTCTAAATCACATTTTGGACTATACTAAGCTATAAAAACTCTTCCGTGAACCCTGACAGGGATATTTTCGGGACCCAGACCGAGGCTCTAGTCGGCCCCTTGGTTCGGACCCCTCCGTCGGACATATTAAAATTATATGCTAAGTTCAATTGACTCAATGACTCTATTAGCATTGTTTCCCATCTATAGTCAGGATATTGATATAATACTCTGAAACACGCCTTTGATCTTGTGTTTTCAATGGTATGCCCCGATCCATAACATGGCTAGTTGAGACCAGATTATAATGGCTGGAGTATGAGCGAAGCAATAAACCAAACAACAATAATATAGATCTGATCCCATGGGTTTCACAATAGAAACCACAAAAAGAGCTCCATGATCTACAATACTTACTAGAAACTCTATAATCAAACCAAAAATCCTTACCTTGAAATTATTATACAACTTTCAGATTTTACGTAAATCTTGAAATATTTAGCTCGCGTTCACAGAACTGTTGTACGCAACGTATGATAGGATGTCCCAATACCATATTCGTTATAGTGATAATTGTATTTGCTTTTAAAGTAACCAGGTTTAAATAACGGAAATTAAAGGAAATTAAATCTTACAGTACCAGTCATTTTGTACTCTAGGCCTATATATGTCACAGCAGTCTTATTTTTTCTTTTTTTTTTTCTTTTTTTTTTGTGGGGTCTTCCCACCTTTATTTCACCATTTTTTCTGATTTTCAAATTTTTACCATCAATATTATACATTTTTATTCACGAAGCTCGGACTGCGGTAATATTAATACCAATTACACAACAAAGTCATGCATACACTATGACCTTAGCATAAGTAAGATGTCAACCAGTATACTGAGCTTACAATCTTCAGATTGTAAGCTCTTCAGATTGTAAGCTCAATATACTGGTCTCACAGCAGTATTTGTACAATATTGGAACTTAGAAATAGGCCTTAAAACGTATCACAAAACACACACACACACAAAACAGATAGAAATACATTTTATCCTACTTTTTTTCTGTCAAGCAACGTCGTCCAAGTTTCTCTTTATTGTCACACGTAAAAGGTTTACATAAATTCTTTTTCCAAGTTTAAACATACACATAAATAAACTTAAGTATAAAATAATGTTAAATGGTGTTAAAATACAGGATACAATTTATTAGTTAATATAAAATATAATGGACAGTTCTCTTATGGCTTGCATTGTTATCGGAGAAATGAGTTATTATGACGAGAAAAACTAAAACTTGCTAAAACGCTTTATATAGGCTATTCATAACTAATTTGGTTTGTTTCTTGTATTGTATTTTTTTATTCCTGATGATACTTGAATAATAATGCGAAACGTCAAATAAATTTGCCTTGTCAATTTTTAAAGTGACCTTTATTCTATTCATATCAGGGGCGGATCCATAGAGATCGCTAAAGGGGGGGGGGGGCAAAAGGGGCGCCCGAAAGTTGGGCCGATCGAGACAACACTATCCTAGGGGGTCGGGGGGATGCATTCACATAATAATGAGTAATAATCTTAACAAAATGTATAATAAGTAATGTTATCATTACGCTAACAATTTTTTTCTTGTAGGACCCTAAATACGCAATTATAACGTGATTTCACAACTACATCTTAATAACGCTTGACCGATGCCGCAATGTTATTTTTCTGACATACATAACAGTAAACGCTCATGAAAATTACAATAACTTTTTCTGTTTGTTGGGCAACTATTTTTTCAAATAATTCTCATTCTATCGACATTTATTACTTTATAATTATTTACAGCGCATTAATGTTTTTTTTTGTTTTGTTTTGTTTTTTTTTACTTTGGAACTAGAGACACTGTTAAATATTCTTTCTCTGCATTTTTTTTTGTTCGCCATTGTATCTGTATATTTTTTACAAATGGCCTAATAGACATCATGTAATGTGATCTATATAGCTGAGTGTTTAAAGTTCTATGCTTCTGAACAGGCCGTAAAAAACGTATTACTTTCTACAGAGATCAAAATAATGATCCTGGTATAAAGACAATTAGACTTGACAAGTCCCTTATTATTTTTTCTCATTCTGGACAGTGCCACCAAATTAATAATAATAATAATAATAATAATAATAATAATAATAATAATAATATAATAATAATAATAATATTGAGCATTTATATAGAGCTCTTATACTGCTGTCTCACAGCGCTCTAAGACCAACAATCTATTGAAACAAGTTAGTTTTGAGAAGTGACTTAAATTGCGTACAGGACTTAGACTGACGGATGTGAAATGGAAACCAGATCAATGGTGCTTGTGCAAAGAAACCTTTTTGGATTAGATTTTAGGTGGGTTTTTGGAAAGGATGACGTTAATGTGTCCATTTCAGAACGAAGTCCTAGACGTGAGGGAACATGAGTTGATATAATGCTTTGTAAATATGTAGGAGAGCCATGAATACATTTATAGATTATGGTTGATATTTTGTAGACCATACGTTTTGAAGCAAGCGAAGTTGAGTAAAAAGAGGCGAAACATGATCATATTTTCTAAAATTATGAAATAACTTAGCCGCTCTGTTCTGCAGGAGCTGAAGACGTCTGATTTCTTTATTAAATGAGCCGCAAAAAGTAATGAATTACAGTAGTCAAGTCTTGACAGGACAAGACATCTAACGGCATTTTCACATGTTACTACATCGATATACCTACGAATCTGGTATAAGTTTTTAAGGTTGTAGTTAACTGATATTGCAGAGACCTGATCAGACATAGTTTACTGACCATCAACACCTATACTAATTGATTTTGATTGGTGTATCGTGACATTGCCAATCCTAAGACAAACATCAGTGAACCGTTTTGTATAATATTTTGTGCCAGCAATGATAAATTCTGTCTTTTCTTCATTAAGACATAACATATTCAGAGTCATCCAATCCCAAGAGTATGAGGGATCTTTCAGGCTCAGATGGATCATTTGGATTAAAACTTAAATATAACTTGGTATCGCCAGCATATAGATGATGCATAACACCATGACTACTAATTATGTCACCAATAGGTTTAGTAAAAAGTTACTTCAGAGACGGAATAAAATCGAGTATGGGACGCCATTTCAATTAGCTATGGCGCGCAATAAGCGAAATATAGATTGAGTAGCCCAAAATTAGGGCCTGGAAAACAGGCTAAAAGACGATAGGCGTAAATCACTAAACCAATACTGCTACTTCAAAACACAGCATTCACTTATTCTTATTTGGTTTGATATTAGTATAAGCTGGTGATGTCTTATCCGACTTGAAATTACTAACATGAGCTGTTGTTGTCTTATTCGTCCTGATATTATTAACATAATCTGATGTTGTCTTATCCGGCTTGATAGTAACAGCATAAGTCGATTCTTTAACTGTGTACTGTACTTCCTCGTATGCGTGATTACGGTTCTGTGTTGAGATTTTAAAAGACAATGTAAAAGTTTCATTAGATTTCTGAATTGAACAAAAGTGTAGGCCTATAATTATCATATTAATGATATACCGTGTATCAGCTAAAACTTAAATTTTATAATCAATGTTTGAATTACTAACGTTATTACTTAAGTATTAGTAACCACCTTTTATGTATTTTTTTAAATAACTTATATGATTAATTTAAATGAATAATTATATTTTTTATTAATATTTTTGGTTATCCATTTTCATGACAGACAATAGGCCTATATATTACACATTTTTAACAAATATTAATTTTAGGCAGCATTCAAAACAATAACGAAGGTAATGTACTTGAAGGCTAGGCCTATTGAAGGACATTTTAACTAAACCAAATAAGAAGTCACAAAAGATGCATTCTTCTGGATTGCCAATAGTTAAAAGTTAAATGCAATATCCATAGGCCGAGAAAGGAAAAGAATTAGTTGTCATAAAAATGTCAATAGGTACAAAAGGGTGAGGACACAAAAAAAAATGTCTATTCTACTGAAATTCATACAGCGTTATAAAAGGAATAATAGTAATAATAATACGGTATATATCTCTTAGAAAATCCAAGAAGAAATCGAGAGAATTCACTCTTAATTGGTAAATCCTATTATCGGAAATGTTATGTAGATAATTTTATGTTACGGATACACTATTTCCTCATATCCTGGCAGTGTAGAATAAGATCAGTATCTATTTAATTATGAAACAATACCATAATTATAATGCAATAATTATGTGAATAATGTGCCCAGCCCCAGTGGTAGGTGGCAGGTTTTCGGAAATTTTTATTGAAATGGTGTATATCGAATCTAAAAAAATGTTGTTACCTGACTAATCCGTTTAACCTTGTTGTAGCAGAACAATGCAGCAAGTAATCCGAAGACGCCAACAATGATACCAACAAAGAACATTCCAATTGTCAGAACTGGGTATTCGGAACTGACTGGAATCTGCAGGCCTGGGTATTCGAATCTGTCTAGAACTGATAAATACAACAGTAGGCTCCGTCATAACATCTGGGAGAAGTACACTCCCACACATTTTATAAGAACACTGGGGCTAAAATTGCTTAAAAATTAAGAACAAATTGAGATTGATGTAAAATGTCTAATGAGATTTTTATATTTAAAAACCAAAAAATTATATCTACTACCTTGTGTGCAGTAGGTATGTAATACTCTCTATAATGCAGGACAGTAAGTGTACAACCTGTCATTTTGGGCCATTTTTACCGGGGCAATTTTTCTGTGGCCATATTTTCAGGGGCCCTTTTTTCAGGGACCATTTTTCCGGGGCCACTTTTTACCTACATTCCGGTACAGTGTATACTGCTGTACAATAATACTTTTCTATGTTTGAAAAGTATGTATTTAAGAACAAAATAAGAACACTTTGAGCCTGAAATCGGCCAAAAAATAAGAACACTGAGCCTGAGCAAAAAAAAAAAGTGTATTTGACGGAATTATTGTTTCTGCTTTTGTCATTTTGAATAATTAATTAATTGATAATGATATTATATTTAATTTCAGTAGGTATAATAATATGTACGCTGTGTCGCCTAACATATCATCAAATAAAACTTAAAACAAAATCCGTAATAATGATGTTTTCTGTTTGATTTCAGTAGGTCTACCATTTGTAAGTTATATTGTGTTGCCCAAATGTATGGACCGTACACACAATCAAACAAACGTTTAACATCTTAATTTGCTACATTTGATATAACATATACAATAGGTTGGCATTTTGTAAATTTTCAATTTGTGTGCAGTCTTGTATTTTCTCAGTTGTGCTAATATTGACACTTCAAATTCCGTTACTCATTACTAATTAAATTGAACCATTAAACCCAAAAGTTACTTATTATAAAGTTTATTTGATTACAGAATATTAAAAACATTTGTTTTTATAATTTTCTACTACAATATTTCTGGGTTTTGTAGGATGATTTTCTATGTTTCTCCTTAACCAATACACTTTATAAACCAAAAAAATTGTAATTGCAATTGTAACATTTTCTAAAACAATTATCAGTTTAGGCACAAACTTCGTATAAAATGACATGAGTGTACACCATTTCATTAAGTTTCCAAAAAATGAAAAACAATTCGAACCTGATGCAGTTACTCGAAAGTAACAAGTTTCAGAATTTCCAGACTTATCGGTAGCAGTGTACGTCACATTGATAGATGCACTTAAAACGTCATCCGGTATTCTTATCACGTGACCAGGAGAATGTGAGCTAGTTACGGTGGGATGACAAGAGGAGTCATCGGTCCACGTAGGAGGAGGCCAATACACGGAGACTGATCGATTAGTCGCTGAAAACGTCATATGTATGTCATCCACCGGACAAGATGATCCGTATGAGGGTGGGGTTATATCTTGATCTGAGAAAATTAAATTTCTATTATTTAATAAATATCAGTAACCCGTTGTTGGTATTGATTCCAGTATTTTTTCCCATGGCTAATCCTTTTGACTAGTCTGGTTATCAGACTCTCATTTCGTAGATACGGTACATTTTCGCCTCAATGTTGTTTAACGTGGGATAGTCGGAGCACAGAAAACACATTTAATTATATAGCTGTGCAGCTGTGTCTCTAACGCTTCTCGATACATCATACCATAACAAATATAAATCTAACACATTATTGACCTGATAAATCGTAGAATCTCTGAAAATGTAAATATTACTAAGTTCACATACACTTTTCGCATGCAAAACGATATTGAAATGTACAAGGGGTGTCATTCCACCAGTTTGTAATGAGTATAGTACAGTCTTCGCCACCGAGATCGTTTGGTTCACCACTACCGAAACCTAGAAGAAGTCAAGTAGAGCAAGCGTTATCACAGCTGTTTACATCTGATGCTGCCCGAAACATATCGTA